GTTTCTTATGAGGACCCAAGTGAAAATCGACTTTTCGTTACAAAGGTCAAGAAAAAATCACGTGGAATGACCCGTGGGGGTGCTCCTATCTATATATAGGGGAAGCCACCAATTCATTTCTCACTGAGTGAGTAACTGGTCATCAAGCACTCTGATCCACTCAAAGACTGAAAAAGGAGGTCTTTTAACTAAAATCCATCGATTCCCAATTCTGGCTGCTGCAGAAAAGCCAAGCTACAACTGCGTGTGCAAAAACTACTAAGTCCATGGAAAAGGGAAAGCTCACCTCCTACACCTTTTGGATTAGGTGAGTTTGAATTTTTATTATAGTTTCCTTTTTTGGTTTTATTTTGTAGGAGGAAAAGGGTATTCATTGTTTGGATAGAGATTTTTTTTTTTTTTTTTGGCATCTGGGTCTGATGAATTGGATTCAAATTTGGCTGGATATGGACTGAAATGGCAAATGGGGTCTTGGGTTCTGGTTATCTTCTTTCTTAAATTCGTGGTGTTTGCTGATTTTCAGTTTCTTGTATGGTACACTGTGGTTTTCGGTTTCATGTACGGTATTCTGTGAGTTCACATATGGTATCTGGCTATTTGATTATGAATGAGCTGGCTGTGAAAGTAACATTTCTTGAATGAAGAAGTCGAAGTATTTGTTCTTTTCTTGCTTTCAAAATTACAGTGTAATGAAATCTCCCAGGAGGGGCAACCTACGAAAGCAGGCGTTGAAATTATCCATTTTGTAGCTACTTTAATTTCTTTCCTCTTTTTTAATGTTGTTTTCTTTTCTAGGTTTTGCGACAATTGGCCATTATCTGCCTTCACTAACGACCCTAATTCTTGAATTTGTGATCATAACATGAACTGAATTCATCACTTTATAACAAGTTTAGCTGGTATTTGCAACTATTAATGATGATCTCTAAAAGCACTTTTTCACAAGCATCTCATTATTTTAATCAGCAAATTGTTTATGATCTCAATTTTATTTTCTTCTGTCAATGTTCTGTCTTACTGATGACTGCTTGAAATTGGTCTAGCGAACTGATTTCTGAATACGTGAGAAACCATGTGTAGCAACGTGGCACAGGATGATTTTCTCTCATGGATACTAGTACTAGTATAAAAAAGGAAGCTCTTACTCATTTTCTATCTGTGTAATGGTCCAATCCCCTCTCTCCACTGCCGGAATTGAAAAAGATTTCTTTTTCAGTCTAATCCATCCACTCTAAATCAGGGTCCTACAGATCCATCTTTACATGGAAAAGGTCCCCTGAAATGTCACCTTTCACAACTTTTTGTTTAAGGGAGTTTGAATTTTGCAATTTTGTTTTTGTTTTTGTTTTTTGCTTTTTTTGGAATATATATATTCACCTGTTTATATAGAGATTACTTGCATCTGGTTGTGTTAAATGAGATTGAGATTAGGCTGGAAATTGACTGAAATGGGTTTGCATTGGTAAAAATGAAGATGGGTGAATCATGGGCTCTCTTTGTCTTCTTTTCCAAACATTTTCTGGTTTCATAGTGTTTGTTAATTTTCAGTTTTGTTCCTGGTTTCAGTGGTTCCACATGGATCTAGGTGTTCTTGATGTTTGGCATTTGATTTTAATCTCGAATATGAAAGTGATATTTCTTAAATGAAGAAGTTGAACTGTTCTTTTCTCTTCTTAAAAATGATAATAATATAATAAAAACCAAAAAGTGGGCAACCCATGAATAAAATATACGCATTGAAAGGATCCATCTTTTAACTTATCCTATTTCTTTCATCTATTGAATGTTGTTTTGATCTGGAGGTTTTGTAATAATTGGCCAACATCCGCTCACTTGCAATACTAAATTCTTGTGTTTTTTTATCATAAGAAGACAGAGGAAAAGAAGGCCAGAGTTGTGTTAAAAGTAGGAACTGAATTCATCACTTTCACATCTGGATCATGAATTATATTTTATTTATCGTCTTCTTAAGCTTGCATCTTTTCTTTAACTGCAAGAAATTTGCATGGACTTTCGTTGCCACTGTTTCTTTACATGTAATGCACCATTTGCCTTCCAACCGTTTTGGTTGCTTTACTGTTCAATGTAATATTCAAAATGGTTGTTCTTAGTTTCTTATTATGGCTTTGAATTTTCAATAGTCTCAAGGTCGAATCTTCACTTGAATTATGCATTCATTTATCTTTATCTGTTCATTGTTTTGGCCAGGAAGCTGATGCTATGAGCTAGCATTATAGGAATAAATAAAAATTTGAGGCTTAGAACTCAGGCAAGACTGGTAGTACTATTGAGCATCCAAAATGGTGATGGCTTCTACTGTTAAAGTGGTTCTAGGCTCAATTGCTTTTGGAATGTTCTGGGTACTGGCAGTTTTCCCTTCTGTCCCTTTTCTACCAATTGGGAGGACTGCAGGGTCCCTACTAGGGGCCATGCTTATGGTCTTATTTAGGGTCATAACCCCAGATCAAGCTTATGATGCAATTGATCTCCCAATCCTGGGTCTTCTGTTTGCAACAATGGTTGTTAGTGTCTATCTTGAAAAGGCAGATATGTTCAAGTATTTAGGCAAGTTGCTTTCGTGGAAGAGTAAAGGAGCTAAGGACTTGATTTGTCGAGTCTGTGTGATTTCTGCAATATCAAGTGCCTTTATCACCAATGACACCGTTTGTGTGGTTCTAACTGAATTTGTACTGAAAATTGCAAGGCAACATAATCTACCCCCTCATCCTTTCCTGCTTGCTCTTGCCTCCAGTGCGAATATTGGGTCTGCAGCAACTCCTATTGGAAATCCTCAAAACTTGGTTATAGCAGTTCAGAGTAAAATTCCTTTTGTGGATTTTCTTTTTGGAGTTCTCCCTGCAATGCTGGTAGGAATAGTTGTGAATGCTTTGTTTCTTATATGCATGTACTGGAGGGTATTATCTGCTCAGAAGGATGAAGAGAATGCAACAAGCGAAGTGGTTGGAGATGAGGATGTTGTTTCTCATCAGTTTTCACCAGCCACATTATCACATCATTCATCGATAAATTCTCAAGAAGGGAACTTAACGTTGGAAACTGTAAATATGCAAAGCTCTCCAAACATGAATGGACCCGTGGCTCATGTTGATGCTACCCTTAGGAACCGAGCAAGTTCAGTGGAAAATGAAATCCACAGGGCATCTAGCAGTGGATTTGAGTCTGGAAGAAACTCAAATGCTTCAAAAGAGGGGATAAATGATGGATTTTCCCCCAAAAAGGAAGAAACTGCCCCTTCAAAGAGGGCTGTATTAATGGATACATTGAGAGATGCATTGCCTACACAATCATCAGAAGGAAAGGAAAATGTGACCACAAAGTGGAAAATGATGCTATGGAAATTCTGTGTTTACCTCGCTACTATTGGCATGCTGCTTGCTATGCTTATGCATCTCAACATGTCCTGGACGGCAATTACTGCTGCACTGGCTCTTGTGGTTCTCGATTTTAGGGATGCCCGACCTTGCCTAGAAAAGGTAAATTCTGCAATTATAATGCCATTCCATTTAATGTTTCTGGTATCAATTGGAATTCAAAATTGAAAATTATATTGTGTCTGTTGAATTTGGAAGTGATGTGAATTTCTTTTCCCTTCCCTGGCCAGGTGTCCTATTCGCTTTTAGTTTTCTTTTGTGGAATGTTTATCACAGTCAATGGTTTCAACGAAACTGGAATTCCAAGAAGTTTCTGGGACATGATGGAACCCTATTCAAGGATCACCCATGTTTCTGGGATAGCAGTTCTTGCAGTTGTTATACTAGTCCTGTCAAATTTGGCTTCCAATGTACCAACTGGTATGCATATGTTATCTACTTGGAAAAATATACCATGCAACTTTATTAAGTTGGCTCATTTATATAGTACATACCAAAGAGAAATCCCTAACAACATAGGACTAGTTGACACTAACATGCATAAATATAAACCAGGTTGTTCAACTTCTTAGGCTACCTACTTGCCGGAAAAAGAGAATCTTAAGGTACCTTCCTGCGTTTTCCATTTTTAAGGGAGAAGATTTGGAAAAAAAAAATGATATTCTAGATTGTTTATAAAGAGTAGTCACATTCGTATACATGTATTCATTTATGACAAACCCCTAAACTGCTTCCTCTAGTCTCCTTAAGCACATAACTGCTGTGGTATAATGAGCATTCAAAACTTTTCTAGCTGCTTAACCTAGCTGTATTTATGTTTCTTCAGTTCTCTTGCTGGGAGCGAAGGTAGCAGCTTCAGCAGCTGCACTCTCTTCAGCTCATGAGAAGAAGGCATGGCTCATTTTAGCTTGGGTCAGCACAGTTGCCGGGAACTTGTCACTATTAGGATCAGCAGCTAACTTGATAGTATGTGAGCAAGCTCGCCGTCCTCCACATCTTGGGTACAACTTATCCTTCTGGAATCATCTAAAGTTTGGCGTTCCCTCCAGTCTTATAGTCACTGCTATTGGTTTGACACTCATAAGGTGATAACAGTGTTCAAATTAAACGGTCGCCCCTCCTGATGCATACATGTATGTATGTTAATTTGGCTACAAAATTATTGGTGTCTACACGATATGTTTCCCCTTCCTTCCTTCTCCTATTGAGACAAGGGAAAATAAACTCAAAATAGGCCTCTAAGTGTTATGTTTCATCTTTTGTCCCCTTCAATATGGTTCTATCTATTAATTGTGTGAAAAATGTGCATGTGAGTTTCAACGTTTGCATCTAATTTAAAATCAATTGGCAATGGGTAAAATAACCAACTCTTTATTATGCACTCAATATGAGATCTTTTTACATAACATGTCTTTTTATGTGCAGGTTCACTATGAATATAAGGTTTATCAATTGATTTAATAAAGTCCCCTTGCATATAAGTTTAATATTAACTTTAGGTGTTGAGACATGCATATTTGGTATCAATCTCAAGTCCTGTTAGGTGGGTGGGCTAGCAACGGGTTACTAAAAACAAAGTCTAAACTCATGATATTATATAAAAATTATGTATGTGAGTTTTACCGTAATATTTGTATCTAATTTAAAATCAATTAGTAATAAATAAAGTAATCCTCATTATATTTAATCCATATTTTTTTTGTTATACATTCGAATATTTTTACACTCAATGTTGTGAAGTTAAATCAACACAATTCTTTCATTGTCATGACATTCATTTAAAAGAAAAAAAAAAACCAGCTTTTCGAAGTCTTATGACAATCCACTTTAATATTCTTGCGTGTGCTTTAGCTCTTAGGCTTGACCTTAAGACTCAATAAGAGATTTTGGGTTCATTTAGGGTGGTAATCAAGCCAAGTAGATATAATGTCAAGCTTTTCCTAGATTGAGTTTGGATCATTTATAATCACTCTATTAGGTTTCACCTTAACTTAAGCTTGAGTGCTTGAGTACTTTAGTAGTTTGATCGAACATCAACTTGATCATGCTTTTATTCATAGAGTGAGTTTACTCTCTACCTAGCTGACTAGTGTGTTTAGTTCAAGATGCAACCGAATTGTTGAAAAATGGATGGATGGTTGATCAACCTGACTTGATCATAACTCTAATTTTTTCTAATTCAGGCAATTAAGGTTGATGTTAAACAATAGTAAAACCCCCAAATCCATCCCTCAAA